TCACCTTCACAATAGATACCTGCCTCAATGGGTTGCTGTGACAAGTGAGATCATGTAGTTAATACAGTGTCTGGCACTTACTAAACCCTAGGAGTGCAACTTGAAAAGTCTGATGGCTTGCATGTAAATAAGGATGAGGAACTACTTTGTACATGACGTGATGGGGCTCCAAGCCCAAGAGGTATCAGTTATTCAGTATAAAATATAAGCAAATGCTTCCTTAGAAACAGACCTCACTTTCCTTGGATAGCATATAACCCAGAAGAGGACAAACAGTGGCCAGAGATGCTATAAAAGGGTTCCTGACACTTCTTATTAAAGCCCTTTCTCTCTCCAAGATTAAACACTCCAAGACCTAGGAAGAACATATCCCTAAATCCATGGTTTTTCTATTTCCTTCCTAAGGTACTGGAGCAGGTTGGGGAGGGAACCAGAGTAAAAAATGCCTGGGCTTGAGGGCCCGGTGTGGTGGCTCACGCCTGTAATCCCAGCACTTTGGGAGGCTGAGGTGAGTGGATCACCTGAGGTCGGGAGTTTGAGACCAGCCTGACCAACATGGAGAAACCCCGACTCTACTAAAAATGTAAAATTAGCTGGGCATGATGGTGCATGCTTGTAATCCCAGCTACTGGGGAGGCTGAGGCAGGAGAATTGCTTGAATCCGGGAGGCAGAGGTTGGGTGGGCTGAGATTGAGCCATTGCACTCCACCCTGGGCAACAAGAGTGAAACTCCATCTCAAAAAAAAAAAAAGCCTGGGCTCTAGTCAGACCATCACCAGTCTTTTCTGGCTTTTGGCTCTTCCCTCAGTAATCCTGCGGGGTGGATACCGCACCCCTGGCTGGTGACTGGGCTGTGGAGAGTTAAATGGGACAACATCATGGGTAAGTCGAAGTCTGTGGGGCACTCTAAAGCACTATTCACAATACAAAAGTAATGGTATTCAAATATTTGCTTCGTCAAATGTGCTGCTCTAAACTTCACTGTGGCCCCTCAAAATTAAGCAGAGCCCAAAGTTCCTATAGTGCTGTATCTAACAACAACAACAACAACACAAAATTAAGCAGAGGATTCCTGATTTCGTATTTTGTGTTCAACTTTTATCAAATTACTACAGAGCTACAATCTGGGGGGAGGTGGGCAGAGGATTCCTGACTTCATATTTTGTATTCAACTTTTATCAAATTACTACAGAGCTACAATTTGGGAGGAGGTAGGAGGGACAGAAATATGAAGAGAAAAGAGAATATGGTGAGGGAAATAGAGTGGTTTTAAGTGAATGTGGAGGGGGAAATTATGATCATCAAAATCAACCTTGGTAATCCCTTAAGAAAATAATAGCTTGCACTACTCCAACAAAGCCAGTTTCCTCTCCATCACTGGGGCAGGCTGCTATTTCTTTGGCTGAGCACAATGTGAAGCTGTTCTGTTGAGAGTAGAGCCCATGTTGTACAAAAGGCACTTAATTCTAACTGGCATAAGGTGCTCACACAGTGAGACACACGGGAACTGAGACCAACTAAAGGACTGCGAGTTTTCATTCATTTCCAGCTCTCTCTGGAGAAGACCCCCGAATAACGGGAAGACTAATCTCTGCTGCCCACGTGGTTAAGTTTTAATAAGTTGAATGTGCATATGAGGTCACTTCAGTGTATGCAGATTTAAAATCAAGCCCCACCAGGGCTTACCCCTCTGGCACTTACTTTCTGATTAAATGTCGGGCAAGCTCATGGGCTGCTGAGCGAGAGGAAGGGCCTGGCAACCAAGGGCCACTATTTGATGTGCTGCAATCCTGGCCAAGGCAGGAGGAAGTCACCTGTTACAACATGGGCATTCTGAGGATCTGTGGTGGGCTTTTCACAGTTCCACCCTCTAAGACATATGTAGATATCACACATTGCAGAGCCAAAGGAAGTGGGAAGGTGGTGGAGCCAAAAGCTGAAAGCAGTGGCCATAAAAAACTAAGCTCAGCCCTTACAGGAACTCAAAGGCTTCACAGCTGCTTCCTGGCAACCAGAGGCACAGATTAATCAAGAGCCTCACTCTAAACCTGACTAAGGAAGGCCTCAGGGCTCCGACCACACCTGGAAGACTTTTCCGGGCTAGAAAACGAAGAGGCCTATAACTCATTTTAGTTTAACCCAAGTAAGGTCTGCTTCACTCAGCACCCGGCTCTCTTTTCACTGCCTAGAAAGGCATGACCTTGTCATACCCCTCTTTTTAAGACTCTTATTCATTCATTCAACAAATATTTACTGAGTGCTTACTTCATACCAGACACTTGTTTGATGGCTTCCCCACACACCAAGCAAAATCCAAAGCCAAGTCTCTCCAACTCTTCTTAACAAGCCTTGCTTGCACACTAAGGCCTTTTATTCTGTTTTTTCAACATGCCAAGCTCAGTCCAACCAAAGGGCCTTTGCACTCACAGTCCACCCTCTCTCCTGCCTATGACACTGTAGGGTTGGCTCTTTCCATTATTTGCCTCAGTTGAAATGCCACTTTCTCAGAGAAGCCTTCCCTGGCCACCTCTCCAGACACTTTTTATGACCTCACACAATTCCTCCTTCGCACTTACTGCTATCTGAAATTGTCTTAGTATTTACTCCTTAACAGCCTTCTCCCTGACTTGAATGGAAGCTCCTGAAGGACAGAGACTGTGTCCATTTTGTTTGCTATCCACGATGGGACACAATAGGCCCTCAGTAAATATCTGTTGAATAAATGGACAAAAGAATTTTGGGAAGTCTATTTTAGGGCACCTCAAAGCCTGTTCTACATTATCTAAACCACCCCAAGTGCTCTTGTACTCCACTAGACAGCAGCTGACATTTTATCTGATCACCATAGCCATTTATGAAGCACTCACTCTTCAACTGTCAGGGTCTCGAGAAGTTAGAATTGGGCAGCTATTAACCCAGATTGTAGGTGGCCAACCGAGTGACTGCAAACAGGGCTGGGCTGCAGCAGCACCCTATTGCTGGTTACCACCAGCACACCAGGCCTCTCGGTTCATTACCATTACCACCGGGCAGGAGTGTTATTCTGGTGAGAAGTTACTCCAGCAGTCCCGCCTGACTCAGAATCTCTCTTCTGGGAGTGCCTGGGGCAGTGTCATGGTAAATGAATTGACTCAGCACTGTTCCAGCTGAAACCGAGATCGAGTTAAAGGATTCATGGTCTCCCCTGCGCTGCAAGAAGACCGCACTGTTTTACATGCAAAAGGCAGCTTGTGGTGGGTCACTTCAGTCAGATCCCTACATTCAATTTCTTTTATTCTCAGCCCAACCATCCGACAAGTAAGGCTCCTTGAGACCTCAGAGGAGCAACATTTGTAAAGAATTCCCCTCCCCCTATTTCCCTTGGATCACCAATTCCTTCCCAACACTGTGGAAGCTGCTGCTGTGGCCTTAAAATGTCCGGATGATTGCTGTACCCAGGCTCTCCATACGCTTTTTATCATCTCACACCACACACCATTTCCTCCGTCGCACTTACTGCTATCTGAAATTGTCTTAGTATTTACTCCTTAATAGCCTTCTCCCTGACTTGAATGGAAGCTCCTGAAGGACAGAGACTGTGTCCATTTTGTTTGCTATCCACGATGGGACACAATAGGCCCTCAGTAAATATCTGTTGAGTAAACAGACAAAAGAATTTTGGGAAGTCCATTTTCGGGTACCTCAAAGCCTGTTCTATGTTATCTAAACCACCCCAAGTTCTCTTCTTTTCCACTAGACAGCAGTGTCCAACTGCAGGCTGGTGTCCCTGCAGGCCCATAGTGGGGAACACTGTGGCCCTGTTTGCTTCCTCCATCAGAGGTAACCCATCTTCACCCCATCTGAGAGAACCTCCTTGGCCAACTTCACTGCCAGGCACCTGAAGGTGCAGCCTCACCCAAGAGTTCCCATTTCATTTGTTCATTTCCCTACTCCCATCAGCCACATATCTGTCCCAATTATCAAAAGTGTGGATGAGAGTGAGCGTCTCCACAGAAAAGGCACTTCTAGGGTATGCTTCCCTCACTCAATTCAAGAAGAGGAGACTTTTCTCCTTTACAAGAAACATCTCCGGAACCCCACCTTTTTCCACTCACTCATTTCAAGGGCTTCCCTCAGTTGAATCCCCACTCCCAAACAGATACCCTCGGGATTCTCAATTCACCAGTTCTTCCTCATCCAATATCAGAGTCTTCCACCTAGTGCCCCACTTGGACCTTGCACCCTGAAACCTCACTTGGAGCAATCCATCTGTCTCCTCGAACAGGGAGGGGACTGGTAATGATGGGGTCATTTCACCATCACTCCAATCAGGTCCCTTTGGCATCTGAATCCTTTTCTCCCCTCTCACTTATCCTGCGGAGATCCCCTTAATTCTCCCCAAATGCAGCCGCTCCAAGGCTCCTCCTTTCTAGTCGACACGGGTATTTCCTCAGCTAACCCCATCTCTTAAAACTAACGCCGGAGCCGTCCCCTCAACCAATAGGGGATCCTCTCAAGTCACCCCTCAGGATCCCGTTTCCTCCTCCCATCCAGCCTGAGGGGCTTCTCTGATGGCCCCTTCAGACAGACATCCCAAGGCCCCGCTCAGCCGCACCCCTGGCACCCAGTATGGGACTTCCATCCGCTGTGGGGCGCCTCTCCCTCTAGGGGACCCCTCTACCGCCTCTAAAGAATCGCCAGCCCCGGTATCCTCAGGAGTGCCTCGGGGCTCGCTCCTCACCCACTCCGGCTCCCCCGGCAGCGCAGCGGGGCCCTCACGCCTACCGGGGGAGCCTCAGGGCCTCGCCGCGCCGCCCACAGGCCCCTCAGGCCCCCGCCCGTGCTTCCGGCCACCGCCTGCTCCTCCTCCCCCCGTCAGGCCCCGCCAGTGGCTGCCGCGGAGCCCAGCGATCGGAGGCGGCGCGGGGACCCTGGCCCCGCTGCAAGAGCGTTTGAGAGTCCCCGGCCCGCGACCCAAGCCCGTGCCCCCTCGGCCGGCCGAGCCCGGCGCCCCCGCTCACCCGAGCCCGTGGTGGCTGCCATCTTGCGTCGCTGTCGCTTGAAGGCCGGCCCCTTCTTCACCCCCCACCCGTCCCCTCGTCCTGATGCGCAGGCGCGCGGGCACGCACAGACGCCGCCGCTGACGCCCGCTCCCGGGACCTGCGCGACCCGTGGCCAGGGAGGCTCTTTTCCTTCCCTTTTAGAGAAAGGAAATATCTGCGTGCTCGAGGGCTCAGCAACCTGCAAGCCACCCCAGATCGGCAGCGAGGGAGGTATTGACGATCTTAGTGAGAAGGGCAGGGGTGACGAGGCTTGGGAAGGCGCGATTGTGAAAGAAAAAGAAAAGATAGCTTCAAAACAAAAGCGCTGAATTCGCTTGGGTTTTTTCCTATTTAGTTCCTATCTAGATCCTCACCACATCTCCACAAGTTCAGGATTAATGTGAAAAACGAAGCCGAGAAAGATTAAGCGATTTATCTAAACCCAGCTGTTAAGTGGCAGAGACAGACCGAATTTGAACCTCCAGGTTCAGATTTGAATTTGAATCACCACCCTCCCGGTCAGATTATCTTGCTTCTAAGATTGATGCTCCCTGGCCAGAGAAGGCTTGGAGTGGTGCAGCTAAATGATTTAGGGACGTTAAGATGGCAGGGAAAGCATTTGCTAACCATCTACACAATCCATTCATTCATTCAGCCAACCAAACACAAATATTAAACACTTACTATGTACCAGACACTGTGCTAGGCGCTGGGGATGGATAGACATCTCTGAAGAACCAAATCTTCACTTTCAGGGGCTTACATTCTAGTCGTAGACAGATAGCAAGTAAACAAACAGGAAAGCCTAAGTCTGATAGAGAATAAACCAAGAAAAGAGCAGCAGAAGATGGTCAGGAAGGGCCTCCTAAGGTGGTCATATTTCAGCAGAGACCCTAACAATGAGGAGATGGAGGGAACAGCTTGTGCAAAGACCCTCAGGAAATGTATTTGCAAATAAATGATAAACCTAAGAAGTTACTCCTCCTTTATTATAAATTGTCTGAGAAGCCCTTATATGGATATAGACACTGAGGCTGAAAGAAATGAAGGGACTGGCTTAAGGTCACAGAGCAAAATACTGGCAGAAGGACCAGGACTGTCACTATAGAGGGACAAGGAAGCTGGAAGCCCTCACCCAGCTCATCCAATTCATCATCTTTTTCTGACAACAATGCCTACTCTGCATCTCTCCACTCCATTCACGTCTTCACTCAGGGCAAGCTGGAAGAACCAGCAGCCTCCATTCTCTCCTCCATGGTCCATTCTCCATATGGCAGCCAACATCTGCTCAAAACACCCGCCAGCTAAAGCCTTCAATGGCTCCCCATTCCCTCTGGATAAACTACAAACTCTGCAAGTTGAGTGACCACAGAATTATCACCTAATGAGGTGACTCATCAGATTAAAAGAGGACCTATTATAATCTCACCAGGACAAGTGGAAACCAGGGCTCTCCAGGGCAAACCAGGATGCCTGGACACATGTGCACAAAGCTCTGCACCCAGGGCTGGGACTAGGATGGGGCCATCAGACTTAAGGAGGCTTTCACTCAGGTCCTAACTCTGCATTTATACAACCCTGCAGGTGAGTGCCTCCTTAAAATCTGCACCCTAGGGCTAGGCATGGTGGCTCAGGCCTGTAATCCCAGCACTTTGGGAGGTGGAGGCAAGTGGATCACCTGAGGTCAGGAGTTTGGGAGTGCAAGGCCCCCGAACACATGCCTCTCCCACTTCAGGGGCTTTGCCTCTGTTGTTCCCACTCTTCAGTTCTCAGATCCAGGACCACCCCCTCAGGGAAGCCTTCCTCGATTCCTCCAACCACATCAACTTCAGCTATAATTAGCTCTCAAAGTGCCAGGTGTTCCTCGTTGCCAGCACTGGCTATAAGTGCAGCAACTTGACTTTTCGGGTATCACGTGATACAAGTTTGCTTTGGGGAGCACAGAAAATACTTGCCCTGGACTTGAGGTCACTGTAAAGCATCGGTAGCAAGTGGAGGCATTTGGTTTCCTAAGGTGGACTCACTTTGCAGTGAAATTTTCTGGGTTCAAGCCTTCTTTCATCACTTTCATCACTCATTTTGCTTTGTGGCTTCAGGTAAGACGCCTGAACCTCTCCTGGCATCAGTTTCCCCTTCTATGAGGATAGTAGCATCAACCTCATGGGATTTCTGTGGAGATAAAATGCTTTCCTAAAACTCCTTGGCATAAAGAGAAGGAAGGGACACCAGAAGAGCTGATATTTATCAAGCTGTTACATCCAGCTTTTAATCCTCACAACTTGATGCAGCAACTCCTAGGAATATCCCCATTTTAGAGATGAGAAAACGGAGACAAAAGCTAACAGGTGGAGGATGAGGATTAAAACACAAGCCTTTTATCCATGATGTCCGTAAATGTTTACTCGCACGAATTCTTTGGCTCTTGTAGAAAACTTCCTGCAAGTAAAACTGACAATAAGAATTTCAGTGCAGAGCGCATCGCAGGAAGAAGAGGTTAAGCGGGACAGGCCGAGGCATTCTGGTTATTGTAGTCTAGCGGTGGCGCGATGCCTGCTGGGAGTTGTAGTATATCCTGCGCACACGCTCCCTCGGAGAAGTTCCGCCCCGTCCCTGGACGTCACAGCCGGTCCCCAGAGCGGGAGTCCTCCCGGCGCCTGCGCCTGATCTCTGCTCTGCGCTTGAGCTGATAAACTCAGCTGATCGGGATAAGAGTCCCGTTTTATCGGATTTTGGGGAAGATTAAAATGGTTAATAGAACAAGAGAGTTTAGAAGAGGGCTTGACACTAAGTGTAATATAAGTATTAGCTGCTATTATTACTTAATCCTCAGTGACCCTTGCAAAGTAGCTGTTATCATTTCCATTTGTGAGATGAGAAAACTGAGGCAAAGAGGAGCTAGATGGCTTTTCCATGGTCACACAACAAAGAAGGAGTAAAATCAGTTTTGGAATCCAGTTCTTTTTACCCTCTGTCACCTGCTGGCTCCCCTGTGATGAGAGAAGCGGAGCCTAGGAGGTTTTAAGCAAAATGTGGGCAGGTTTATGTTTTTACAAAGTGCATCCTGGTTGTCACGAGGAGACAGGGCGAGGACACCCAACTGAACAGCAGCAATATTGGTGGCAGGGAACCCAGAGAGGTGTGTTGGGTACTGTTTACTGCCAGTCCAGTCACCATGTCCCCACATTGCAGAGTGTGTGTTTGGAAACTTTCCCTCCCCTGGCTCATGCCTGTAATGCCAGCGCTTTGGGAGGCCAAGGCGGGCAGATCACCTGAGGTTGGGAGTTCGAGACCAGCCTGGCCAACATGGAGAAACCCCATCTCTACTAAAAATACAAGAATTAGCCAGGCGTGGTGGCAGGCACCTATAATTCCAGCTACTTGGGAGGCTGAGGCACGAGACTCGCTTGAACCAGGAAGGCAGAGGTAGCAGTGAGCCAAGATCGCGTCACTGCACTCCAGCCTGGGTGACAGAGCGAGACTCCGTCTCAAAACAAAACAAACAAGCTGAAGAAAAAGTCTGTTTTTGATCCCTTCCTGAGGTTGTGATGGTTGGGGCTGCCTGGGTGATGTGGCTGAGCTGCTGAAGGGATCGCGGGCTGCCCACCTGCAGACTTCTGAAGATGTGAGATAATGTGCCTGTACTTAAGCTGTTCTTAAAGGTAGGTTTTTGCTACCTACCGCAGAAAACATACCTAATAGATACCTAGTAGATGCAGTGGTTCAGTTGAGAGACATATAGACCTGACTGTTCTGCAGTGTTCATTTATGAACTCTGTTCTCAAGTGGGAAAACAATAGAGCTGGTTTGGAATCTCTGGGATGTAAAAGGCACGAATATACTTTGAAAAAGTATATTTGAAAGGTGAAAAAAAATTATATATAATGTTATCCACAACCTTGATATTTCCTATTTATAGTTAAGGGAAAACCCCAACCTTGTGCTACAGTTTTTATAACACAGCTACAGAAAGTAAAGCTGACAAACTGTTGACAGGAGGGGCTGTGGACTTGCTGAAGACAGAGAGGAAAATCCCTGGGAAGGGATGTGTGGTTAACAGGGTGTGTGATGAGGCTGGGCACAGTGACTCACACCTGTAATCCCAGCACTTTGGGGGGCTGAGGCAGGTGGATCACCTGAGGTCAGGAGTTTGAGACAAGCCTGGCCAACATGGTGAAACCCTGTCTCTACTAAAAATACAAAACTTAGCTGGGCGAGGCGGCACATGCCTGTAATCCCAGCTACTTGGGAGGCTGAAGCAGGATAATCACCTGAACCTGGGAGGCGGAGGTTGCCATTACTGCACTCCAGGCTGGGCAACAGATCGAGACTCCATCTCAAAAGAACCAAAACTAAACAAAACAGGGTGTGTGATGCATTTGCTAGTGAAATTCTATGGCACATATATGGAGTCATGGCTCCCTGAGGTGTGTCTAGCCATTGCATTGAGACATCTTATTTAATGTCTAATGTAGTTTCTGAAATATACAGTCAAAAAGAGGTGGGAGTGGGTGGGCAGGGGGTCTTTAGTACACTTCAATAACTCACTCTATCAGTGGACATCTGAGTTGTTTCCACTGGCTTCTTCTGATACACTTTTTGTAATATTTGAATTTTGCATTATATGTTACTTTTGTGGTCAGGGAAAAAGGAATGAAAACTAGGGGTTTGGGGCAGAAATAAAAAAGATGTTTCCTTAACTTATAAAGAGCCCTTGCAACTCATTAAGAAAAAATAACCTAGCCGGGCGCGGTGGCTCAGGCCTGTAATCCCAGCACTTTGGGAGGCTGAGGCGGGTGGATCACGAGGTCAAGAGATCGAGACCATCCTGGTCAACATGGTGAAACCCCGTCTCTACTAAAAATACAAAA